ATTTGCACCTTCCCCCAGCACAGCAGGCGGCACAGGAGCATCTCTTTCAGCATGTGTCTGCCCGCATGCACCGAACCATAAATCAGAGTTCACCACCCCGCTCCCCCACCCCGAGCTGCTTTTCACAGTGGCTGGGTGAGCGCTACTCACCACAAACGTCTTCTCCCCGCCTGTCAGAGTGCATCACAGTGACACACAGAGAGGAAGGGCTGTGCAAATGGAGCATGAGTTATGGGCCGTCAGCAGGGGAAGGAGGGGGTGAACTCAGGGAGCGTTTCCTGGGATCAGGCCTCGCATCCATGGCACCCCCAAAAGGAACATCTGGAGGAGACCTGATGAGGCGGATCTGCGCGGATCCCCCTACCGCACACAGCTCCCCCCTAATGCTGTGTGACCTGCACGGAGCAGATCCGAAGCCGGGGCAGGATGTGGGCCCTGAGCCTGTCACAGCCAGCAGCAGCAGAGCCGAATCCATGACAACACGGAGCCTGCATGTGAGAAGCTCAATGCCTGCCGCTCCCTGCTGAACGCCAGCGTCCCGCAGCCCCGTGCTGTGTTCTGCAGCCAGCCTTGCCCTCGCACATCTGTGCCCAAAGGAACATCCTGCACTCCTAGGGCTCTTCTGATTTTCAAAGCCCCTAACAAGCTTTTCTGACTCACTGTACCACAACCCCATCCCGTGCCCAATTCACCACGAGCTTTGCATTCCTCTTGTACTTCTCTGCTACGGCACATTTGTATGTCATTAATGCAGCCAGGGCTTTTACTTCACCGACACCGATTGAACTGCTGAAACGAACCCCTGGGAAAAGAGAGAGAAGAAAGGCAGAGCGCCTGCCATCCTGCCACAAACGGCACAGAGGAGATGGAGGAGAGGCTTTGAATCTTCTGAAGCGGCAGCATCTCGTCACAATAGGTGATCAGAAATCATTCAGCTGGGTTTGTTCCTCCAGACAGCGATTTCCTAACAGGCAGCCATCCTGCAGGCACGGGGCTGCTGTGGGGAGCTCTGATAGCACAGCCCAGCACCTGCTGAGGGATGGGGCTGAGCCCCGTCGGGCTCTGAGCAGCCATACTGCTGCAGGACAGGGTTAGATGTGATCCGCCGCCCTCAGGGAGCATGGGGTGCTTGGGTCAGAGGGATGTAGGGAAGGCCACATGCTGACAGCTGCAGGGGGCTGAGGGGGAAAGCAGCAAAACCAGCGCTGGTTTTGCCCTAGCCCCTCCATTGCCTCAACATGGCAGCTGCGCCTGCCGAGGATTGTGTCGGAGCAAGCAGCTCTCTGATTGGCTGAGCCGTGGCAGGGTGGCCACCAGAGGGCGCTGTGTGAAGTGGCTGCGAGGCTTTCCTGATTGGTTGCAGCTGGGAAAAGGAGGCGGGGTCTATGGTGGGAGGAGGGGTGTGGAGTGGTGGGGGCGTGGTGGGTGGAGCCAATCAGGGTGGGGCACCTTGGGGGTGAGGTCAGGAGCGGGGGCTGCAGAGTCAGGTGTCTGGGGCAGCACATGGGCAGGGAGCCATGCAGGGACGCACTACCAGAGCTCCTGCTGGCCCCGTGCAGGCACCTGCCGCTCTCTGGCCGTGCTCCGGGTCCTGCCTGTGAGCCCCGGGGTCCGGCACCGAGGGCATCTCCAACAGTTCAGGCGCAGACCAGGTGGTGTGGGCACGCTGTTACATTCACGTGTCGCTGCCCGTGTGCGTGGGAGGCAGGGCTGCGTCGCACAGGGAGGGGGCTGCCATGCTACCTGCGCCCGCAGCCCCCTCCCCGCGGGGAGGATGCGCTTTTCAGGCAGCTGCCTGGCTTCCTTGCGAGCCGGGAGCGCGGGAGTGTGTTGCCAAGGCAATGGGGACCATCTTACTCATCCTCCTCGCTATTGTTATCCTGCCAGCCCGGAGGTGCCCGGGTGGGGAGAGGAGGAGGAGGAGGCAGCTGGCTGGGGAGGAAGGCTGGCTGCAGGGAGGGGAGAAGATGCGTGTCCCCTCGTATCACCATCATGGGGGTAGGAGATGCTGATGGGTGAGGGGAGAGCAGAGTGCAGGGAAAGGGCAGGTAGGGTGTGAGCCAGCAGTCCTACTGCAAAGTCCTGGGCAGGGGAATAGAGGGATGGGGAGAGACGTGGTCCCCTCCACTGCCAGGACCTGAGTCTACCCATGGTGTCTCTTGTCACTCTGTGCCCTTCTTGACTCCCTAATCCCCTGTGTGGCAGCGTGAGGTGTAAACTCCAGCTACATGGGATGTAAAGCCATAGCTGAACCAGGCAGGATGCACCTCACCCTGCTGCAAGGGGGGAAAATGGGACAGTGAGCACAGAGCTGGGACCAGCACAGGGCACGGGGCAGAGCCCGGTGGTATGACAGCTCCTGGCCATGCAAACATCTGGCAGCTGTGAGCGCTGCTTTTGCATCGCGTGTGACAAGCGGTTGCGGTGCAACATCCAGCACGAGGTGCTGCATGCCTGGGGGTCCGGGAGCGGGGTCTGTGCTCTGCAGCACCGCTCGCCCACGTGTGTCACTGCTCACACGTGTGCCACCCTGGCTTGGCGGGGTGCCTGGCGATGGTGTGGGGGTGCCCCGGGGTTGCAAGGCTGCGTTCTTTATTTTGATATTCTTCCTCCCTATTTTTAGCATTCGGGGTTTTGTTCCAGCCTCGCTGTTTACTGGAAGGAGCATTTCCACCGCCAACCTCCCCTGTCTCCAGGCAACCAGGTGTGCCAGCTCCCACCGCGCTGGCGCCGACACCACACCGCCCTATAGATCTATAGGGCTGAGGAGGGGGGGGTTAATGTTAACTTCAAGGCAGAGAAACCCTATCTCAGGGTTAACATTAACCCTCCTGGCCCCAGACTCACAGCCCCATCTGCTGCAGGGACCTGTTGCACCACCAAAGCACTCCAAAGCAGTCCCGGTGGCACCCATGGGTGCTGGGCTGGATAGGAGGTGACCAGACTGGCACATGGCTGCGGGGTGCACCATGATGGATGCTCCTCCCTGACCCTCCACTGCCGTGGAGGGTCCACCGAGCTGGACTCATGCTGACGGGGGCTTCACACGAGGTGACGGTGCCCTCTGCCAGCCCACTGCACGGCAACATGTGGGGGGCTCACCGCGTGTCCCCGTGCGTGGGGCAGTGCCGTCTGCCAGCACGACATCCCAGCGGCAGAGAGGTGCTGGCCTTGCAGGATTGTTGGGGGGCAGGCGGGGCCTCGTGGGGGGGGCTGTGAGCCCGAGGCGATGCTCGCGGGCCGCCTTCCCCCCCGCAGCGCGAGCGGGAGTGCGTGGGAAGGAGTTAGACAAAGCCTGAGCCCGGGAGCAGAGGCAGCGCTGCCGGGAGGGAGACGGGGACGTTCTTCCCTCCCCATCCTCCCCCCGAGCGAGGGCTGAGGAGAAGCCCTCCTTGTTCCCGTCCGCGGCGGCAGAAGAGACCCGCACGTCCCCGACCCTCGGGCTGGCAGCCGCGGGTTGCAGCGGGCAGCGGGACAGCGCCGGTGGCTCCGCGGTGATGCCAGGCGGGGAACTGGACATCTCCGTCACCAGGTAGGAAGGGTACGGGCTCCGTGTCGCTGTCACCCCCACCCAAGGGCCGGCACCACAGGCCACGTGCCCCCCCCAGGTGTAGCATGTCCCGGGGCCGCTGGGTGGCTGCGCGGGACAAGAGCCGTTCCCGCACCCGGGGGCTGTGTCGGGGTTCTAGCGGGGAGAGGATCTCACGATCGGGAGATGGGGAGGGGGGTGAAGTCCCAGGGCGGTGGAGTACCCGGGCTGGGAACAGCGCCGGGGGGATGATGCCAGATCGCCCCCCCTCCCCAGACAACGGGCTCCCAACACCGGAGCGGGCGGTGCCGGTGCGGGGCGCGGACCGGGGGTGCCGCTGCGGGGGGAGCGGCCTGGGGCACGGTACCGCCCCCGCCGCCGCCGCCGCCCCACGCATGCTCCGCCACCGCCACCGCGCCGGAGCGGAGCGGAGCGGGACGGGACCGCGCCGGAGCCGCCGCCGCCGCAGGTAACCGCGGCCCCGGGGCGCGCACGTGGCGGGGCTCCCTCGCTCCTTCCCGGAGCCCCGGGGCGGTATCACCGGGACGGGAGCGGCCGCCGCCTCCCACCCTTCGGGGCTGCGGCGAGGGCGGCTTTGTTCGCGGCTCGGCCGGGGCGTGCCCACGCGTGTCCACGAGTGTGTGTGCCCGGAGCCATGTGCCGGCGGCTGCGTGCCCGCGCCTGCAGGCGGGAGTGCGTGTGTGCCTGCGGGTGGGTACACGCGTGTTCGTGTCTCTCCGCGTGCACACGCGTGTGCCCCGGGCAGGATGCCCGGGTTCGGCCCCGCGGGGAGGTGTTACGGGTAGGACTGGGGAGCTCCGTAGGGAGAAAGGCTCGGAGGGCTGGGAATCGTTTGGTGGGCAGGAGCCGTTTGACATCGGCTTCTGCCCCTCGTGCCACGTGGCCTCATGCGGGTGTGGGTGCGGGTATCTGTGCAGGGCAAGTGTGCACGGTGCCCAGCTGGCACACCCTACCCTGCCTGGCAGAGCCCCCAGTGTGCTGCGCAGCCCTGCTTGCTGCTGCCTGCAGGCCAATGAGTGCCCTGGGCTGGGTACCTGAGTGCATGGCTCTGATGGGAGCTCTGTGTTGAGCATCTGCGAGGCTCTCACTGGGCACTACAGGTTACCCTCCAGCTGTTCTCTCTGCAGGGTCTCCAGGCCACGGCCCCGTGGCCCCAGCAGCCAGAGCAGCCGCTGAATCCCACACGTGGCTCAGTCACACCAAGGAACAGCTGTTTTTGAGGTAGGTGCTGACACTGTCCTTCCCTTCCCAGGGTGGGCACTGTGCTGGGGCACTCTGGGAACAGCCAGACCTGTTGTGAACTGTGGCGTGGCAAGAAGTAGTTGATGACTGACAATGCCCAGCTCACTGCCCTATTGCCTCTCTTGCAGGACTAGCATGGGAGAAGCCTTCCCTGGGCATGGGCAGCACTAGGGAGCCCGAGGCCCTGCAGCTGCTGAGCCGAGAGGACGCCTGTGAGCCCGGTACCAGCTCCTCGGGCTGCCCGCCAGGGGGTGAGCGCTTGCCCAGCTCTGGCTGCACCGCGGATGGCCATGCCATGAGGACCTGCTGCGTGGCCAAGCCCGAGGCCCTGGGCACTGTGGAGAAGGTGCCAGTGCCAACAGGACTGGGGAGCTGCGGGGCAGCCGGTGGCACCGCCCCTGCCTGCGGTCCTATGGAGCCAGGGGGCACCCAGAAGGAGAAGGCCACCCCTGTGCCTTCCCTGCCTGAGCCCTGCCTCAAGGCACCCAGCAAGGATGCGGGTAGCGCGCCGGCTCCAGCCAAGCATGTGGCATTCCTGGAACCATCGGTGGGAGCTGAGCTGCCCTCCCCAATGCCAAGCCAGGAGCAGCCCCAGGGAGGCACAGGGGGCACCGAGACCCCCGAGCAGCTCCAGGGAGTTGGGGAGCAGGGCAGAGCTGACAGGAGCACCGAGAGCACCCAGCAGCCCCGGACTGCCAAGCTGCTCTGCGGGTCCTACTCATTCGAGGTGACACCCCCACAGGACGCCGGCATGCAGGACACGGGGACACAAGTGGACAGCCGTGCATCACTGGTGTCAGTGGCACTGAGCCCCATGAGCCCCCCGGGTGGAGCTGCCGCCTTCACCTTTCCCAAGAGAGAGCTGGGCTCTGCCCCACGCCTGGAGCCCTCCAAGAAGGATGCGGAGATGCAGGTGTCCATGCCTGTGGAGACGCGCTCGGTGGCCACCGGGCCCATGACGCCAGTGGCCAAGTCCCCGCAGGCCTCGTACCCCGAGGTGCACGTGAAAGGGGTGGTGGAGGAGGCTCCAGAGCCCATCCGGGAGGTGAGCTGGGACGAGAAGGGGATGACGTGGGAGGTGTACGGGGCCTCCATGGAGGTGGAGGTGCTGGGCATGGCCATCCAGAAGCACCTGGAGAAGCAGATCGAGGAGCACGGGCGGCAGGCGGTGGCCACCCCACAGAGCACCCGCGCCAGCTCCGTCAAAGGGGCTCCCTGCAAAGGCGAGCCCAAGAGGCAGCCCAGCGTCTTCCGGGCTCTGCTGCAAAACGTCCGGCGGCCGCGGTGCTGCTCTCGTGCCGGCCCCGCCATGGAGTGAGCTACTGCCCACCCCAGTGGGACGGAGGGGACACGGGGAAGTGTCCCTGCCCTGCGTCCCGAGACGCCCGCTGCCGGCGTGCAGCGCTCCAGGCGGGTGGTAATGGAGTGCTGCAGGTAGGGATGGGGCGTCTCATCTGCTGGGGTCCCCCCCAGCCCTGGGACACGAGATGGGTGCCATCTCCCTGTGCAAGGGGCAAGGGCCTGGCCATGGCTTAGAGCTGGGCTCATGGGCAGCAGCAGTGACAACAGCCCCTGGTTGCCCACCCCATCCTGTTTTTGCCACATCGACATCATGTCCCACTGCTGTGCCCAGCAGAAGGGCTGTGGGGCTGGAGCACGTCTGCTCGGGGCCATCAGCTGCTTGTCCCCATCATTGCAGCTGGAGGCATTTGGGGAGGTTGTCCCCGTGGTCCCCAGCCCTCCCTGGCTGCAGTTGAAGCACGGGAAACGTCCTTGTCCCAGTGGTGGGGAAGGAGCCGCATCGCTTCCCAACCATGCTGCTGTGAGCAGCACCCAGAGCCCCCAGCCTGTCCCTTTGTGGGTCCCCCAGCCTTGCTCGCTGCTCCCCCTGGGGCCGCGCCAGCTGCAAAGTGCTGCCACTTTTTACCGCTGGGATTTTGCAAGGGTGGGAGGGAGGGGGGGGGCTTTTCTTGAAATGTGTTTGCATTTTTGGAGCTTTTTAAGAGACACTTTCAGCCATCAGCCACCTCCTCCCCAGCAGCCTGCGGGGCTGCAGCTCTTTCAAAACACTGTCCCTATATCCCTGCCTTGTGGGGTGGCACCAAGAGCAAAGTCAGTGTGCTGGGGGGCTGAGCACCCCTCTGCCACCTTGGTGTCAGTGCCAAACTGTCGGGCCCCACATCTTGCCTCCCACCCCCTCCCCCCCCCAACATGACTGAGTGCACGGGAGTGGCCCCACAGAGCCCCAGGAGCATCTGAGCTGCAGGAGGCTGCAAAAAATGGGGTGCTGGAGATCCTCTGGCCTGCCAGTCCACTCCGGCACTACGGCTTCATCCCCAACTTTCTTTGTTTTCCTCTTTCTTTTTTGGGGGTGGGGGGAGGAAGGGGGTGGGAGAACTACACTTGTCAGTTTGGGTGTTGGGTAATAAAACATTGCAGAAAGCTCTGTGCAGTGCTGCCAGCAGCTCTTGATGGGGATGTGTGGGGTGACAGACAGCAGGGTGGTACAGAGCCACCCTGACCTCAACCCACCCCTTCCTTCCAGGAGAGGGGACCCTCTGGGGCCACCACCGAGGGGTGGCCATGGGACACTGTCACTACATGAGATGGGTTTATTGCTGGGATTGAACACGACATTGCCAGAGCAGGTGCCTGAGTCCCGCTCCGGCCCCTCTGTGCTCCACATGCTGCTCACAGGTCGGTGGTGTTGAAGGCAGTGTTGATGTAGGCCATTTTGGAGGGCTCCTTCATGTTCAGGGCGGCCGCCAGCACCTCGTCCTCAGTGGAGTCTGTGGGATGTGGGCTCCCTCTCTGGGAGAGAGCACAGTCAGAAGGGTGGGGACAGGGACACCCCATCCATCCCCAGAGCAGGGATGGGGAGAAAGGGATGTGAGGGTCCGGCAGTCCTTGCGCCACAGCAGAATGGGGCTGGGCGGAGGTGAGCAGGATGCCCTGTTTCCTACCTTGGCCTTGAAGTTGTCCTCCTTGGGTGAGTCCACCTTGTTTTCATCCAGGGAATTGATGCTGCGGAAAGGATAGGGTTTAAGAGGTGGTGGCAGCATGGGGAGACAGGCAAGGCCTTTGGCCTTTGGAGCTGCCTGTAGAGCTCACCTGGCCAGCGAGCTCGTTTCTTCATGGAAGCCCAGGTCATGGGATGGGTCCAGCGAGAGATTCAGCATGGGGTTGGCCCTGGCCAAAGGTGTGTGGCAGTGAGTGATGGGCCCCGTGGGGTCAGCCGTGTGGGAGCAACATGGGGACAGGCACAGGGAGCCCGTGCTCACCTCTCAGCATTGTACTTGTTGGTGCCAGGGATGCCCGCTCCCTGCACCACAGCTGGGCTCAGTGTCGTGGCTGCCTTGAGAGCCTTCATCGCGCTCAGCTTCCTCTTGTAGCTGCGGGGATGGTGATGGTGAGTGGGGATGTGGGGACAAGGAGTTTGTGGGGACGTGGGGTGGGTGCATGGTACCTCCTGATGGTCAGCACCAAGGCCAGGATCATAATGAGGATGAAGAGGACCAGGAATGCTGCCAGCCCCGCGATGACGCCGATCATCTCCTTCTCCTTGCTGGGCTCTGTCACCTCACCGGGGCCCTAGCACACAGTGGGGCTGTGGGCAATGTGTAGGCACGGGGACCCCCAAGGAACCACATGGGGCTGGTGCCTTGTCCCTGCACCCCTTGCCCACCCCCACTCACGATGATGACCAGGCCCAGGTTCATCAGGTTGGCCAGGACTGGTGGGTCGCTATGGATGAGCCTGCCAAGGGAAGAGAAACAGGATGAGTAATGGGGTGGGCAGCAGTGCTGGCACACAGCTCCCTCCGCAGCACACACAGGGTCAGCTGGTTGACGTCCAGCGCTGTGCCATTGCTGTAGACGAAGTACGCCTCCATCACCGACTTGGCTTTCACCCTGCGGAGACAGAAGGAGGGGGTGAGCGGGCTGTGGGGCACGGTGCCCCCCCCATGGCTGATGCCATTGCCAAACCCCTGCTCACTGAGTGGCACGGCTGTCGTCGTAGCTCCGGATGGCTGACACATAGACCCCTGCCTTAGTGGCGCTGGTCAGGGCCCTGCAATGGGGTTATGGGTAAGGTGTGTGTATGGGGAGCAGCAGGACCTGCAGCCCCAGCCCCTGCCAGGCCCCCATACATTCTGATGCTTTCCAAATTGCTCTGCACTTCATCCACTGTTGTCGTAAATTGGAGGTGAATGCGATAGCTCTGGTCCACTGTGAAGATCTGTGTGGGGACAGCAGAGTGAGAGGGGCTCAGGAGGGCATGGGGCATCCCAAGGGGATGAGGTGACACTCACATTGAGAGTGGTCTGTGTCGCATGCTGCGGTGCTGCACTGTCCCGAGCCTCCACAGTCACCTGGTATTGCCCCTTCAGTGAGCTGTCCAGGTTGCTGGCCACCCTGAGGGGATGGGGACATCAGCATTCCATGGGGCTGGGTCTTCCGAGAGCCCCATCCTCCCAGCACACTCAGGCCCCTTTGATGGGGACCAAGGAGCTGGGGATGCCCTCCCTCCATCCCTTCCCTGTGCCCCTGCCACGCAGCAGAAGAGCTGAGCTGAGCTCAGCCCACACCTCGCAACCCCCAGCTCAGCCTGGCCCCATGACATTACTGAATGCTCCCGGTGTAGTTGTCCTGGTCAGCTGAGGTCACCACCTTGAAGAGATTATCAAAGGGCCGCTTGGCCCCATCTTCCTGCACGAGCACCACGCTGATGATGGAGAAAACAATAGTTCCTCCCAGCCCCGAGTCGGCATCCGTGGCCTGCAGGGACCAAGTGTGTCAGCAGCACAGGTGGGCACGGATGGGTGAGCCCAGCACCCAGAAGTGTGCACAGCTCCTCACCTTCACAGTAGCCACTTGCAAGTCCACAGGAGAGATTTCAGGGACAATGACTGTGGGAACAGAGAGTGCAGTTGGGGTGCTTTGCAGCTAAGTATGCTGCAGACCCCATGCCCTGCATGCCTCATGGCTCAATAGCACAGGTGCGGCCCTAAGCGTGGGGCTGCTCTTTGTGGGGAGCAGCGGGTTGTCCCAGCCCAGACACCACCTCTGCTTCCTGGGCAGCTGGGCAGAGCCACGCAGCAAAGAGCAGATCATGGATGCTGTATCCTAAGCCCTTTTGCTCACCAAAGGTACCGGAGACAGGGAAGAAGATCGGCGCATTGTCATTAATGTCTGTGATCCAGATCTCCAGGGTTTCTGTCAAAGCCACAAACACAGAGCACTGGTCAGTCCTGCTCTGCTTCCTCTGGGAGCCACAATCCCCCAGAAGGCCCAGATCCCTGAGCAGAGACCAAAGAACTGGGGACACCTTCCTGCCAACCCAAAGGGACCAAAGAGCTGGAGGCAGCCTCCATCCATCCCAAAGAGGCGCTCCTCTGGGGAAGCAGCAGCTCCAGGTCCCATCTTCCTCCCTGCCCTGCTCATGGTGGACACAGGGTGCGGGCTCTGCCTGTACCGTTCTTGCTGTAGCGGTCGCCTTTCTGGGTGTAGAGGTCTTCAACCCGTATGGTCAGCCGGACCTCATCACACAGCTCATAGTCAATGTCCAAGCTGTCGGCCAGCAGTGAGCCATTGGGCAGCAGCACAAACCAGTCCCAGCACACCTCCCCAGCATTGCTGCCACCCTTAAAGCAGGCAACCGACAGCTCCTCGAAGACCAGTGAGTGGTTGGTGTCTGGGTCAAAGGCAACCACGGTGTGGACCAGACCCAGCTGCGTGCTGTTCTCACTCACGCTCACACTCTTCTGCGAGGACGACGGGATGGTGGGCGGCTCATCATTGACATCGAGGATGTTGACCAGCACCGAGACATTGGCGATCTTCCCCGCATTGTCTGCAGCCGTGTTCTCCGCCAGCACCACCAAGGAGAAGAACTTATCCTGCATGGTGTCGTAGTCCACAGTTACGTCAGGGTCCAGGGAGAGCCGCCCGCTGTAGTTGCCTGGCCCCAGGCGAGTTGAGCTGATCAAGAAGTTGCTGGAGCCGGTGCTCCTCTCCAGCTGGAAGGAGATGCGGGAGTTGATCTCTGTCCGGTCAGCATCTGTGGCCATGACGTCCCCCACAAAGGACCCTGCAGGTGAGGCAGACACTCAGTGTCCATCTGTCTGACCCCAAGCACTGTTTGTCCCACGGCCTGACCACCCTCCTCATACCTTCAGAGCTTTCAAAGATGGAGAACTCATAGGACTGTTGGAGGAACACGGGCATGTTGTCATTCACATCCTGCAGGAAATGATAGCCCATGAGTGTAACCATACTAGAGGTCTGGCATGGAGCAAGGAACAGGAGCACAGACACCTGCTCCCTGCTCCAACTGTGGCACATGGGGACACAGTGCCACCTCTGCATCCGATCTGGCTGTGCCCAGTGCTCACCGCCACAGTGATGGTGACGTTCACCATCGTGCTGAGCTGTGGCACCCCGTGGTCGTACACCTCCACTGTCACCACCAGCTGCCCCTCCTCACTGTCCACAGCCTCACGGTCCAGTGGCTCAATGCTGTGCATCTCTCCAGTGATCTGGTTGATGGTGAAGTTGTTGCTGTACAGCCCTGGTACAATTTTGAAGCCCAGCTCACTGTTGGGAGTGCCTTCCTCGTCATTGTCAATGGCCTGGAAAGAGAGCACCAGGGAAATGGAATGAGGTTGTTTGCAGCCCAGGACAAACCCTGACTCCTCTGCTTGTGGTGCTCACCCTGATCTGTGTGCTGACGTTCTGCCCCTCTTCCACGTAGATGAAGTAGGAGCCGATGATGATGGGCTCGTTGTCATTCTCATCCAGCACGGTGATCTCCAGCATTGTGGTGCTCATCATGTTACCCCCGTCCTTGGCTTGCAGGTTGGCGGAGTACATAGAGCGCATCTCCCGGTCCAGGAAAGACCCATTCCTCACCAGCACCGCCCCAGTCGTGGCATTCACCATGAAGATTTGCTGGCTGCAGCACACACAGATCCATCACTGGGGCTCCAGCCCAGGGCAGGAGGCACCCACAACCCCCAGCAGCTGTGCCCCACATACATGTACTCCTGGAGCAGCTGGTAGGTAATCTGGCCACCAGCACCACTATCCGGATCATAAGCCTAGAAGAGAGCAGGAAACACCAGGAAAATATGCTTCAGTGGTGAATGTAGGCACTGGGTGTGGGTACCGAACACCCCAAAAGGTGGCCCCATGGGTCACACTGGTGTGACTGCCCTGGGGACATGAGCTGTGTCCTGCCCTGACCGTGATGTTGGTGGCAATGATGGTGCCATCGGGGCTGTTCTCCATCACGCTCAGGCTGTAGGTGCTCTGCGGGAACTCAGGGAAGTGGTCATTGGTATCGATGAGGTCGATGGTCACAGTGGCTGTGGAGCAGCAGTCTGTGGGGTTCCCTGTGTCATTAGCAATGAGCTGTGGGGTGAAGCGACAGTGTCTTGTATAGATCCCCAACAAGAGAGAGCTGTTATATCCGACCCAGCTCTTCTGAACCAAACAAGTTGTTGTGGCAAAGTCATGCTCTTGTCCTTGCAAGTGAAGGGTTGTGTCCCCAAGCATGCAGGGAGGAAAGACCCACCTGCACCACCATGACATGGGTTATCTCATAATCCACAGCTGACGGGTCCTGCACGAGGATCTGCACCTCCCCCGTGCCCACAATTCTCGTGGGGGAGACAGTGAAGGCACTGGCACTCGCACCCTGCAGGTAGAGCTCAAAAGTGCCATTGATGCCCTGTTGGGAGATGGACATGAGATGGACATGGGGTGAGGGTGGTGGAGCAGCAGGAAAGCAGCACAGCTCCAGGGATGGGCTCCCACCTTGTCTGGGTCGCGTGCAACGATGTTGAGGTTGGACACGGGCACTTTGGAGGGGGAATGCTCGATGATGCTCCCTGTGAAGTTGCTTTGGGTGTAGATGAAGTCGCAGGTGGAGAGGGAGCACTGGTAGAACTGAGGCTTGTTGTCATTGACATCAGTCACCAACACTGTCACCAGTGTGCTGGCCTGGGCCACATTGCCATAGATGTCCAGGTTGCTCTCACGCGCCTGTGTGGGCAGAGGAGTGGCTCAGGCCACGTGAGGTGAGGAAAAGAACGGGGGTCTCATGCTGTCCCACTCACCGTGACCTCCAGCAGCACCTCCTCGCTCAGCAGCTGCTCACGGTCCAGCATCTGGCTGACGGTGATGGTGCCCGTCGTGTCGTTGATGGCGAAGGGGACACTGGCATCTAGGGACCAGGTTCAGTCATGGGCAGGGCTGCTGCCAGCTGGAGCCCAGGCACAATCCCCCGGGTGCCCACCCTACTCTGTGCCCCCTACTCACTGGTGAAGCTGTAGGAGATCTTATCGTTCACCCCTGTGTCTCTGTCCATGGCGGTGACGGTCAGCACTGTGGTGCCCTGTGGGGACACAGCCATCAGGGCACAGCCCAGGGACACCTCCAGCCCCAGGGCAGCGGGTTGGGCTGCTCACCACCGGGCAGCCCTCGGGCACGGAGCCGGAGTAGGGCTCATTGAGGAACCGTGGGTTCAAGTTGGGCACATCGATGACGGTGATGGACAGGTAGGTGGTGCTGCTCTGGATGACCGTCTCGTTGCGCAGCAGCCCTCCACCGTCCTAAGGCACAGCACCTGTTAGTCCCCCATCGCCCTTCCCTGCCACTCCACACCCACTGCCCCCACCTGGGCAAGATGTCCCCTACCTGGGCGAGGATCTTCAGCTGTAAGAAGGTGTTAATGGTGTAGTCTAGTGAGCTGTTCAGCACCACGCTTCCATTGGGCAGGATGTAGAAGAGCCCGTGGTTCTTTGTGGTGTCTGGGATCACCTGGGCAAGGGACACTGCCACATGTCACCAGACCTGGCCCATGTGGAGCCACCACCACACAGAGCTGCGGTACTTACCTCCTGGATGCTGTAGCTGACTTTGGCAGCAGTCCCAGTGTCAGAGTCATCAGCAAACACGGTGTAGATGATGCTGCCCACTGTCGTGTTCTGGGCTCACAGAGAGGCAGTGGTGACATTGCATGGGGCAGCAGGGTTAGGGTGCTGAGCCTGACCCCTCCCAACCCCATCTGGTGCTCAGATGGGCACTCTACTAAGTGTCTTAGCCCCACTCCCTGTCTGTACCCTGAGCCAGCCTTGCCCTGGGCTGAGCAGCTCCGTGGGCACTCCCTGGTGAGGGCAGAGTCCCAGTGCACGCCGGCCTCACTGGCACTGATGTGTCTGCCAGGAATACCATCACCGCACACCGTAACCACACGCCCAGGCAGTGTCACAGCATGCTGTCACCACACATTATTGCTGCCTGTTGTCACCAGGCACACCCATGCTATGGGAACCACCTGCCCACGGGCTGCCAGGTCCCAGGAAGGTACCTCAAGGACAGAAGTTTCATAGGGCAGGTTCCGGAAGACTGGTGCGTTGTCGTTACGGTCCTCCACGATGATGGTTAGGCGCCTGGTGACCTATGGGGAGAGCTTGGATGAGGGACAAGGAGCCAGCCAGCACTGCCCCCTGGACAAAGCCCCACTGAGCATCACAGTCAGCCCCACTGAGACCTCGCTGAGATCCCACTGCAATGCCCATTCTCATACTCACCTCTTCATTGATCCCGTCAGACACTGTGACGAGGATGGTGAGCCTGGCCTGGGACTGGGAAGATAAAGCAGAGCTCAGTCAGGGCACACAGAGCTCAGCCTCAGTCTGAGGGCTCTGCCATCCATCCCCAAGGTCCCATCAGTCAGTCCCTGCCCTCACCTCACGGTCCAGCAGGTTCTTCAGTGTCACTTCACCTGTCTGTGCATTAACATCAAAGTAGAAGGAATCTGCCCCAGAGATGCTGTAGGTGATTTTGTCCCCATCTAAGTCATAGGCTGTTAGCTGGAAAGCAAACTCGCCTGGAGACAAGGGGACAAGGGCAGAGTCAGCCCCGGGCTCTCTTCCCAGCCCCAGCAGCCTCCCCACAGCTGCCTCTCACCTATCTGCAGGTCCTCAGCCACGTACACAATGGTCATGGTCGTGTTGAAGATGGGAGCTGTGTTGCCTGAAGCTGCAGGGAGAGCATGAGCTGAGTGTAGGGAATCCCCATTCCTCACCCCACATCTCCCACTCCTCACCCTCCTCTGTCATGCCATCCCCACCGCCCAGCCCACAGTGCCACTTCTGGGGGTCATGGGTGCCCCCGGGGAAATGGGATGGAGTTGAAAGCATCTCTGATGCTTCCTGGCAACCCAGGCCTGCACTGAGCAAAGTCCTCACCTGCTGCGAGGAGGAAGGGGAGCAGCAGCAGCGGGTGCCATGCCATCCTGCACGGAGCCTGCGGAACACAGAAGAGAAACTGGTGCATGTCCCGAGCCTCCATACTGTGCCCACTGGGAGAGCCTGGGATGGGACTGTGCTGCCCAGGGGAATAGGTCCCATGGGGACACAGTGAGGAGACAGAGTTGGTCTCTAGGTTCTGGTGACCTCAGGAGTATCTGGGGACCCTAAGACCTGCTCCTGACCATGACTGGAGGCTGCATCCAGATCACCCCAAGCCCCACATAGAAGCCCCATAGTGAGCTGTGACACCCCACAGCATCCCCCTCTCTTGTATCGCAGCCAATAGGCAGCCTGTCAGCTCACCCCCTCCAACAGACATTCCCCCACCCCAAGCCCAGACTGCGGTACCCAAGGGGGGACTGGGGCTGTGCTGGGATCCCTTACCTGCAGCCACCTCGCCGGGATGCTGCCGGCAGCTACACCGTGCTTGCACCTTGGCAGCGCCGCAGACCTTTGACTCCTGAAGTAAACAAGTTCGTCAATGATTAACTGCAATTAATGTGTCAGAAATTGCTTTCTCCATTCTCCTCCCTGTTTCTCACCATCCAGCTCTGGCCCAGCCCAGTGACTGCTCCCCAACTCCAACCCCCTGTGCTGGGGACCATCCCCATGGCTCAGTCACCACAAACCACACCCTGAGGACTCTGCCTGTGGGGCTGCGGGGGGACCCCAAACCCGAGGGTCTGGGGAGAGGCTGCCTGGCATCCCCTGGGCTGGGAGCAGTGAGGTCTCACCAGGACACAGGTGGGCACCGACCCAGTGGAGCTGCTGCTGGCCCCTGCGCATCCCCTGCTGTGAGGTTCCCTCCCTGGGGGGGGCAGAGGGCTCAGCTCTGCCTCCCTGACCTACTTCGGCCCGCTGGGGACAAGGGTGGATTGTGCCGCTCCGCTCATGCAGAAGAGGGCTGAGATGTGAGTGTGGGGGGGCACAGACACAGCCTGTCCTGGCTCTGCAGGACCTCCTGCCTGGCCCTCTTCACCCCTATGCACCGGGGAGGATCTGAGGGGTCTGGTTGCCTGCACAGCTCTGCAAGCCCCAGGCCACCCAGCCTGCTCCAAGGCCCTGCTCCACTTCATGCCAAGGGCGAGGACTTAGGTGAAACTCTCGAGGGCCGGTCCAGGATAGCCCCTAATGCTGGAGAGTTGCTCTGCCCTCGGATCCTCCAAAGTCCCTCAGAGCTGGTGCAGGACATCCCGCTGCAAAACCTCCTGGACTGCCCTGCAACACCCCCAATCCTTTCAAGGGTTGGCCTGGGGTGTCCCCAGCGCCTCCATCCCCATTCCTATCCAGATCCCCATCCTATCCCCAACTCCATCCCTGTCCCTGAAACTGTCACCGTCCCCATCCCGGAATCCACCCCCATTCCCGTTTCCATCTCCATCCCTCTCTGCATCCCAATCTCCATTCCAATCCCCATCTCTCTCCCCGTTCCCGATCCCATGGCTATTCCCATCTCCATCCCTACCCACATTCACACCCCCGCCTCTCTCCCCCCCCCATCCCCATCCCCATCCCCATCCCCATCCCCATCCCCATCCCCATCCCCTTTCCTCCCTGTGCGCCGCCGCTCGGAGCATTACGGCGCGCGCTCCCCGCAGCGTGTTTGTGCCGCGCCGCTTTTGGGCGCAGTACGGCGGCGGGGCCGGAGCGGACGCGCCCACATCGGCGCGGCGCAGGGGGCGGCGCGGGGCGGCCGGTTCCATCGGGGCGGGAGCGCGGGGGCGCCACGAGGCGGGGCCGAGGCCGGAGCGCGAGCGGCACCGGGACGGACACCGAGCCCGGCGGGCCCGGCCGCCGCGCCATGCGAGCGGGCTGAGCCCGGAGCGCGGCCGGGGCAGGCACCGAGCGGCCCGCGAGCGGCGGGGGGCGGCGCCTCCGGTAGGTGCGGGGCGCGGTGCCGGGCCCGGACGCGGCGGGGGGCGGCGGAGCGGGGCAGGGCCGCAGGGCGCGCCGGGGGCGGGGGGCACGGCCCCGGTACCGGGAGGGCGTTCCGGCCGGGCCCGGCGGAGCGGAAGCGGGGCCGCCCTCGGGGCTCCTCGCTGCGCGCGGCCGGGCCGGGCTTCGTGCTCGGGCAGCGCCCCGTCCGTACCGCCCGGCGCCGAGCGGAGCGGCGGAACCGCTGCGGAAGTTGTGAGTGGGGACGGGGTCCGGAGCGCGGCCCCGCGCGTGGGGCGGTGCTGGCGGCCGTGCCGCGGCGTGGGACGCGCTGCGCTGCGGGGCCCGGCGGCCCCGTCCCGCCGCGCCGTGGGCCGAGCTCCGCGGGAACGCCGCGGGGCGCCGAGCCGTGCGGGCGGCCTAAGCGGGCCGGGGATCGTGCGGGTGTCCGCGGCCCTGAGCGGCATCGCCGCGTTCCGGCAGCGCCCCGTCCCGCTGCGTGCCCGGCCGCGAGCCGTGCGTGGCCCCGCTCCCCGTGCCGACGCCTGGAGCCGCCTCGGCTCCGGCCCCGGGCTCCGCGGCCCCGGGGTGCGCGGCTCCCACGTCCCGGTGCTGTGCGTGGGCTGAGGCCGGAGCCCCGGCAGCGGCGGCGGCAGCAGCAGCAGGAGGAGGAGGAGGAGGAGGAGCGGCCGCGGCGGCTGTGGAGGGGAGCGGGCTGCTGCCTGATGTCACTGCGGTGCATGGTGGGTAATTATGCACGTTGCAATGAAAATAATAAGGCCGGCTCCAGAGCGGCGTCTAAAAATACTGCTAATGCGGAGTGCCTGCTGGGTGCCTTTGTTTGTCACCTTTGGGTGTTTGCTTTGAAAGGGGCTGGGCAGCGGGAGCCCAGCTCTGCTCCGCCGACCTCAGGTGATGGTGAGCTGCAGCCCAGCTCGTCCCTGTGCTCCGATAAGGGGACAGCAGGACGGCATCCTTTGCCCCAGTGTGTGGGGTGGGAGGCGGGTGCTGTCCGTGTGGCTCCCACTGAGGTCCCTCCATCTGCTGCCGGCCGCCAGCAGCTCCCCGCTGTGCCCACGGGAGCGGCTCATGGGGTGGCGGAGCCATCTGGAGCCCTGGCTGCTCTGGCCGTGGCACAGAGATGGGGGGGAGGGTGGGCAGGAAAGGCAGGAAATGGTGAGCTGAGTGCTCAGCTCCCACTGCTCCGCTTCTTCCGCTTCTCGCAGGAGAGGTGAGAGCAGCTGCTGCTTCTGTCTGGCTGCTGGAGCTGGGCCTTGTCCTGCTTGGCCGTGTTGGGAGAGGAGTGGTGCTACCCACAAGGTTGCCTTGCCTTTGGGGTTAAGGCCGTGTTTGTGGGGTCCCTGCTGGTTGTCCCCTTGCTGGAGGGACCACATGCCCCATCTGGCTCCTGGAAACGCTGTTCCCACGGGCAGTGCAGCACACACAGCCCCTACCTGATGTGCTGCGTGGCTCCCGCTCAGCAAGTGCAGAACAAAGAGCTGAGAGAGGAGACTTTGCAAATCCCCATTGATTTGCACAGTGGAAGCTGCTCGCTGTGTGTTTGCATCTGCCTGCCTGGGACCGGGGCTCTGTGAGGGGAATTGATCAAGCTGTAAAACCCAGAACCAGCTAATGAAATAGGGACTATAGATTTTTATTTTAAATGGAAGAGAGTTTAGGAGAGATTTAATTATCCCTGTTTTATGGACCTGTTAGAAGAATGAAGTAACAGCCAGCAGGTAGGGCCTCGGCTTTGGCTTGTGGCATTACATCCAGGTGTGCGCTGTTGGTGAAGTCCTGCATCAGAGGCTTAGTGTGAAACAAAGCCACGGGAAGCAGAGCGTGGTGGGGTGAGATTCCGCTGATCCCATCACGTATCCCCACTTACGTGTGTGTATCCATGGAGCAGGAGCACACTGACATCATGGAGTGGCAGTGTCACAGGGTGGGCTCCTGTCTCGAACTAGGGCTCTCCCTGCCCCAGGTATGGCACAGGCTCATCCTTGGGCACCAGGGGGTCCCGGAGCCACATGCTCACTGTTCTCTGGGTGTCTCCGCCAGGCCATGGGCACTGAGCTCTTGCTGAAACCTGCGTACCTGTGCAGAGCGTGTGGGGTTTGTAAATGAGCGCTGCAGAGCGCTGGGATTTGCTGGGCTTAGATGTGTGTCCGACACAAGCGGTAATGCTGTCACTACAGCCACTCCTACCGTGTGCATCCACTTTGCAGTCACGTGAGCCTGGCCGCGGGGCACGGCTGGGCAGCCAGCGCTGGCTGTCGGCAGCAAAGCGCGGAGCTTTTTGATGCTGTTGGGTTTTCATCTCTGAGGCGGATTGCTGGCACATGGCGTCTTCCTGCCGTCCCTTGGCTCCCTGCTTAGGGCCAGCTGTAGAAATGTGGTTTGTCACCTGCTTTGTGCTAGAGGAAAGGTTGGCCGGTGGATTTGCTCAACCAGGTATCCTAGAGTGGGGTGCTTTGGGAGGGCTCCCTGCTTGGCTGCGTGCAAGGCAAGAGTAAGGGGAGCACTGCCCACAGCCTGCACCTCGGGAGCCTTTTTTTTCCAATGGTGGCCTCACCAGTGGCAGAGACAAAGCTCTGGGCTTCCCTTGGCTACCCCAAAAAGCAGTGTGAGGTTCTAGCTTGATCACAGAGAGCAGAGTGCCTGGCCGTGCTGTATGTGATGAGCTGCCTGCTCTGGGCTGAGCCTGCCTCGAGGTGACCGCAGGCTCCAGCACCTTGCCTGTGTCTCCAGGAAGGGGCTTGGCTTCGGTTCTTCCTCTCCTGGCCAGGCAGGCGCAGAGCCTGCTTCCCTCCAGCAGCTTGCCTTTTCCCTGCTGTGCCGGTGCAGCTCCCCGGCTGCGTTTGCTTTTTGATCCAAGTGCCTTAGTTGCTTTTCTCTGTGTGCCTGCGCTTTGGGCGAGTGGTGAACAATAAAAATCTGCCGGCGAGAGCTGTAGCAGAGGTCAGCCAGCTCCTGTGCCCCAGGCTGCTCTGTTGTCACTGCACAGTCGTGCTTTGTGCACAGGGGCTGTCAGCTTGGAAATCATGGTGGCTTTTTTCCCTCTTAAAACTATCCCCAGGCACTGGTGCAGGGTTTTCTGTGAGTGATGTACTGGGGAGGTGTGGCAGCAAACTTCCTTTGTGCTTAAGGCAGTGGTCAGTGCCTGTTTCAGTGCATCTTGAAAGCAGACCCCTGGCTAATTATAAATCAAGGACAAAAGAGGGCAAATAGTGGCTGCAAATCGTGAATTTGTCTGAGCTCCTTTCTGAAAATGATTGCTGCAGGTTGTCAATGTCCCTGTAGGCTTCCTAAAATGCAAAACAAAGCACCCAACCCAACTTCCTGACCGTCACCCACGCTTTCAAGAGGCGCTTCGTTTTGCTGAATTGCTTGCTGCCATCAGTTGGCTCCTGGCTCTGCCTGTGTCCTTTTTGCCAGGTGCTGCCGCCATCAGCAGAAGGGCAGTGTGAGTGATCCGGCCTGTGCCCAGCAGGTGAAGCAGCAGGGATGTGTCTGGAGGCTGCCCCTTGGTGCAGTGTACGCAGTGTGCAGGCTGGGCTGGGTGGGATGCTTGCAGAGGATGGCAGGCGAGGGAGGCAGGCTGTACCCCTGCTCCCTTGGGTAGCTGTGGCCTGGGGGAGGTGTGGTCTTTGCTTTAAGGCAGAGCTGTATGAATGGAGTGTAAACATGTGAAGGGCAAAGCAGTGAGAAGTCCTGAAGCATTATGCCCTGTAGAGGGAAGGAGTGGCAGGGCTTGGGGACTGCCCGGGTGGCGGGGTAGGGATGAATGTGGAAGCGCTGGCTCTTCTCCCCCTGCCCATGTACAGCTGAGCTGTGGGACTGCCTGTGACAGGATGAAAGGAGGTGGAGGTGAGCACGGTTCACTGTGCTTGTGGCCATAGGAGGGGGCCACCACAGGCTGCTGAATGCCTTCTGACAGCTGCTCAGGCTGGAGCACCCCATGGGTTGAGCCAGGGTGCTTCCCCTTGCTGGATGCTGCTGAGCTACAGAGATACCTGAACTGCTGCACCACAGCCTTCTGGTCACGTCGCTTAGGTTGTGCAGCTGTTTCTAGGGCAAATGAAGAAAGGTAGAGATGTGTCTGCAGATTCCTGTCCTGAGGAAATGAAGGCTTGCGCAAGCTTACTGTTTATTTGTGAGTCTTCTCTCTGCTCTGAACTTGCTGGCTGGTTTCAGTTAAGATCAGCAGTGCAGCAGCTATCTCAGAGGTCTGGAGAGGAAGAAACTGCTAGTTCTCCCTCTGCACTGCAGCTCAGCCTTGCTATTAGACATCAGAGAATCCACGTGGGAGAGAGATCGACAGGAAACTGGGTGTTATCAGTTCCGCTGCCTTTGCAGCTCCTCGCTCCTCATGTCAGCGTCTCCACGCGTGTGGCTGGAGGCGTTTGATGGGAGTGCTGGCAGCCCGGGGGTGTGAGTGGGTGGTGTGCGATCGCTGCGAAGGCGTCCTTGCCTCCCCTGCCAGCGAACTCAGCTCCACCAAGGTGTGCAAAGCGGGGAGGGAGCTCCTCTCCTCAGCAGGAAAGCACCTCACCATGCAGCACCTCCTGATGTTGGGGTGTCCCGTGTCACCTTGTCTCTGTTGGGTTTTGGATAGGGTGGGGATTCTCCTGCTGTCCCTCCCTGAAGGCTGGGAACTCCTTAGTGCTTGGTACCAGTTTCTTCTTGCTTGTTTTGCAGATGGTGGGGAGGATCTCTCCTGTACTTTGTGGAGAGGCTGGGGAGGGTATGTCTGGAAGCTGATGGCATGCTGAGTGTTCAGGAGAGGCTGGGGGAGAGCCTGCCTCCACTGGGAGTCTTCCCCATATTGCTCCAATCGCCCCAGCTAATCCTGTGACAGACCTGACCTATATATGGGGCCAGGGGGGTGGCACGTCTGTAGCAGCAGATGGTGTCGCAAAGAGCCTGGGCTCAAGCAGGCTCCTGTTGTGCTGACCTCTAGCTCTTGTGAGGAAGAGGATGGGCTGTGGTGATCCTGAATTCAACCTGTGCAGTTCTTTGTGACAAGAGCTAGGCATGTGCAGCCTTCACAGCTAGAGCTGGAGGTCTCACTTGGCTCTGTGACTGGAGCGAGAGTCCCTGGTGGAGGGCGGATGAATGAACTCGGGAGCCTTTGTCCTGGCCCAGAAGCACTGGCTATGCCACTGTCACTTGGGCTCCTTGTTGTGCTCCTCCAGGCTTAAGCCCGCATCAAGATGCTGTCACACTGGTGGTCAGCAGTGGCCTTTTACATGGTGGCAGAGAGCCGGAGCAGCATGATGTATTGGTGTTTGTGTATACTGCTGTGTCCCCAAGACAGAACAGGGCAGGTGTGAGCTGAGCCACTTGTGCATGCCCTTGCAGGGGCTGCTGGGCAGGCACACAGTGTGTCACAGGAACCACCTGGCCTGGCCAGGCACAGAGCATGAGCATTGCTTGCCAGAGAGCCACGTTCCATCACTTGCTTCTCCTGCCATTGTCTTGAGGACATCAATAGCTGCTGGCCACGGGGGAGCTGGTGCAGCTGGAACATGCTGGGAGGGAGCATCTGTACAGATATCTGTCATCTGGGCCTCTGTGTGCTGTTTATGCTGTTCTTAGGGTCAGGCTGTGTCCTGGCCACCTTGTAAGGTGCACTGCTATTTCTGCCAGGAAATAGGGGCAAGCTCAAAGTGCATGGTGCCATCTCCTCTCCCTCTTCGTCCCTGGCTCCTGAAGCCAATAGTGGACATTGAGGGTGATCATCAGCTCTTCGGCTGACCCCTCCTGGGGTGTCTGACTCCTGTCACAGCTGTGCCCTCTGCCCCCTGCCAGGGCACGGGAGCAGCTGTTGGGGCAGAGGGAGTTTGCCCCAGAATGCTCTATGCCTTGGGGAAGCCTTGAGGCTGCTGTATGCGTCGTTGTGTGCCAGGATTCGGGTGAGGAGGTGAGAGCAGGCAGAGCGGCCTCGAGATGGGCCTGGAGGGATCTGGGGGCGGGACAGAACCGAGCACAGCCGCTCGGGGTGATGATGAGCCTACCGGATCGTTAAACCGTCGCCACGGCTCTGAGGTTTTCTTTAAAAGGGGTGATGTTACAAATTAATTATCTCCCTTTTGGTTGTTAGCACTTTAAAGCCCAGCTGTCAGGGGAGGGCTGTTTTACAGGCATGACATCAGGGCTGTCAGCTGGCTGGCTCTCATACCTGGCGGTTTCTCGGCGTGCCGTAAGGCAGCAGCCCGGCACGGACGCGGCTCTCAGCTCGGGCCGCGCTGCCCGCGGGCTCCGCCTCGTGCTCGGTGGCGGGGCGCGGCCCTCGGCCGGCTGGCAGCTCCCGGCTGGGCGCTCGGCGTCTCCTGGGGGTTCTGTGCTCGCTTAACTCGGCGCGGGGAGCGGAGGCTGTCCTGAAGCAGCAGGCTTTGCCGGCCCCCAAACAAACCGGGCACAGATGCCGTGGGAGCCGCGTGCGCCCGGCAGGCGGTGGGCGCGGGCAGCAGGAGCGGCCCTGAGCGGGACGCGGACGCGCGTCGGTTCTCGGGGCCGGCGGCGGAGCTTCCGCGCCCACCTCCTCGCTGCTCCCTGCGTATCGACGCACCTCGCGGCAGGAGCGCGGGGGCGGCCGATCCGCCGTCCGCACGGCCCGCCCGGAGCGGCCGAGGGGCCGGAGGCCCGGACGAGGCCTGAGGTAAGAGGGGCGCCGCGGGGCGGGCCGCGTTGCCGGGGCCCCCGCTCGGTGCGGACCGTTGCCATGACAGCGCTCCTCCCGCGCGGTGGGGGGCGGAGGGGGGGGAGGGGGCGCTGCCCCGCGTGGCGGCCCAGCCCCGCGCCTCCAAGATGGCGGCGGAGCGTGACACGCCTGGTCACGTGGGTCGCGCGCGCGCCGCGCCGCCCGCTCGCTCCCCCTCTCCCCTCCCGCCAGGCGCGCGCGCCCCCGGGGCCTCCGAGTGTTGTGCCTCGGCCCGGTGCGTGCCGCCGCGCCTTAAAGGGGCCGCACCCCGCACCCGCACCCCGGCGGCGGCAGCCTCGGCCCGCCCGCCCCGAGCCGCGGGTAACAAAGAGGCACCGGAAACAGCGGCGGCAGCGGCGGGGAGGGGGCCGGCCGGGCGGGAGGGAAGGGGGGTGGGGGGGGCAGGCCCGGGCCCGGCGTCGGCGAACAAAGAGCGGCGGGAGGAGGCGGGGGCGCCGCAGCGGCTCCCGGAGCGCGGCCCCGGCCGGCGGTGCAGGTAGGTCCGGAGGGCGGGGGGAGCGGCTCCGGGAGCGAGGCGGAGGTGGACGCCGCCCCCCCGACGTCCCCCCATCTCCGGCGGGGACACCTGCCCCGGGGCGGCGCGGCGGGGCCCGGGGCCGCCTTTGTTATTGCTTTTGTTTGGCGCCGAGCACATGGCCCCGGAGCGGCCGCTCTTAAAGCCACAGCTCCGTTGAGCCCCGGCGCGCTCCGGGGGCCGTGCCCGGCTCGGAGGGTCCGTGCGTGGCGGCTGCGGCCCCTCGGGGTCGTCGGGGCGCGGCGCGGAGGGCGGCACTTCGGGCGGCGGCGGGGCCGAGCCGTGACCCTGCGCTCGCGTGGGGACGGACCGGCGGGGGGCGTGGGGCCGTGCGGGCGGCGGTCCTCGGCAGATGGCACCGAGCGCCGCTAACTTTGTTCCCGTGCCCGGTGGCCGCTGAGCCTCGGCCGCGCGTGTCCGCCCCCACCGCGTCCCGGCCGTTGCCGCGGCCTCCGGGCGCTGACCCCGGGGGTCGCGCGCGGGGCCCGGGCGCCGCGGGTGTGCGTGGGGTGAAGCGGGAGGCGGTAAGCGGGGACGCTGGGGGGAGCCCGGAGCGGCGCGGTGAGCGCAGACCGCGCACGGCTCTGCACCCCGCGGCGGTGGGACCCCGGCGGGAGCGCGGGCTGCTCTGGGCGATCCTGCTGTGGCGGCTTTGTTTTTGCACGAAAGAGAGAGATTTGCCCCCAGCTTCAGAACCGGCATCCCAGGTTGGGGTGAGAGTAGGAGGAGATGCTCGGCACGGTGTCAGGCCGTCCTCTTGGTGTGACATGGCCATTTGTCCTTCTGGGGACGCCCCCAGCCTCCTGCCGTGCTGTTGCTGGGCTCAGGGCGCTCCGTGCTCAGCCTGTGCCCACATGGCCAGCGCATGGAGCGGCAGGAGGAAGGGCTGAAGCAGGCGCTGTGCTGGGAGATGGCCACCAGCTGGATTTGGGGAGACAGCTTTGAGCTGCTTGGGTTGGAACTTGTGCCACCTCGTGCTGCAGGGACACGGGAGGATGTAGAGCTGGGCAATGAGTAGCCCCAGTTGTGGAGGGGTGGCACTTTGCTGCGTGACAGTGACATGGGGACACCCATGGGTGCAGGGCAGTGGAGCAGTGCCCAGTGCCCCGCTGGCAGTTGAAGAGGGTGCAGAACAGACACACAGGTGCCCTGCAGGACAGAGCACCCCCAGAACAGTACTGAACCCTGCTTGGCTGAAGACATGCTGGGAGCACCTGGTCCCATTAGCAGCCCAGGACAGTGCTGCAGTCACCAGCTTGCTTTTCTCTTTGCCAAAAACACGTGCTTCTGTCTCACTTAGTGTCTGTGTCCTGCATGGGGGTTTCACACAGCAGAGGGACGGTGCCTGGGTATCTGATTGAGGCAGGCTCTCCAGTCCCAGGAGCGATGGTGGGCCTGGGGCTGGGTGCCGGGGGCAGCAGGCTGGGCAGTGCTGGGGTCACACTGCACAGCACATCTTGGGATAAGGCTGCTGCCTGGAGCCAGCTCCACACCTCTCCCTTTCTCCTATCCCATATCAGGGAGGATTTGGGGCTCCTGTTCATGCTCCAAGCCTTTGCCATCCCAGAGGCTTAGAGACCGTGACCTGCTGTTGTTCTCACAGGATCCAAGGTGCTGGTGTCTTGCCCTGCCTGGAGCCTGAGGTCCTGCGTGCTCATCCGGCTCCCGACGTCACCAATGCGACCATGGGAACTGGCAGTGAATAGGCGGCCTCCCTCTGCCCCTTTTAACCAACGTCGTTTCTCAGGGGGACCCTGCAGCAGCCCTGACCACCTCCGGCGAAGGTATGGGCAGCACGGAGTCCCAGTGGCCATCATGGCTGTGTGGGGACACTGTGGGTTGTACAGCCTGCTGGGGCAGCCACCAGCACCTGGTGGGTTGGGGGGGCTCGGGGTGGGGAGCATGGCCAGGGGAGCATGGGGAATCCTGTGCTGAGGACACAGGGTGGCACACACAGGGCAAGTGGAGCTCGACGTTGGCAGCCAAATGGGGAGCCCAGCTCCGAGCATTGCACCACTGGGCGCTGACCCTGCCCGGGGGTCACTCCTGCTCTGTTTCTCTCCTGCGGTGGCTCCGCAGCCCCCCTGCCAGGCGTCAGTGGGGACGACGCGACCGACCTCTGGCAACCCTGCTGGGCCAGGATGAGACCCAGCTGCACCCTGCCTTCCCCCAGCAGCCGCACATCCCTGTAGATGAGCCCCGCGCCTACGCTCTCCCCAGCACACCGCCACGAATGCTGCACCCGGCCGCTCACCCGCCCCACCAGAACCCATTCATGGTGGATCTTCATGACCAGGTAGGTGCTGCAGGAGCAGCTCTGGTGCTGAGAGTGATCCTGCACCCATACCGTGTTGTTCAGAGCCAGCTCTAGGACAGGGACCTGTGATATGTCCTGTGGTGGTCCCCTTTGGTGGTGGTGGGGTGAGAGCCCATGTCACCCTGACTGCTGCTTGCAAAGCAAGGTCCAAAACTCACATTGAACCTGCAGGATGCTGGCTGTGTCCCAGTGCTGGGTGCTTTGTGCCCTGCTGCTGCCCCTCCAGGATGGGGAGAGCCCAGCTGGGACTGTGTCCTCTGTCCACATGTTCTGTGCCTTGTCCCCAGGTGCACCAGGGACCTGTCCCTCTCTCCTACACGGTCACCACCGTCACGACGCAAGGCTTCCCCATCCATACCAGCCAGCACATCCCTGGGTGCAGCACCCAGCAGCTCCCAGCATGCTCAGTGATGTTCAGTGGACAGCACTACCCGCTCTGCTGCCTCCCACCCCCGGTGAGTCACGGTGGGGACAGAGAAGGGGACACCTGGTGGTGACCATGAGTTGCCTGAAGGCTGCGTGGGTGCCACCCCAGAGCACAGGGGCTGTGGGTGTGGGGACCGTTTGATGCTCTGGGGCAGGCAGAAGTGCCCCTGACCCGCATTTCTCTCCAAACCCTGCAGTTGATCCAGGCATGCGCCATGCAACAGCTTCCAGTCTCCTACCAGACGTTCCCTCCAATCATCTCCAGCGACCATTACATCCTGCACCCGCCCCCGCCACCAGTGCCCCCCCACCAGCCGCCCCACATGGCTCCTTTGGGGCAGTTTGTGCCTCTCCAAGCCCAGCACCCACGAATGGTGAGTCGGAGTAGGGCTGGGGAGGTGTTGGTGCTGCAGAGCCAGGCACGGGGCCCTGGAACAGGGTATGATGTCTGTGCAGCCCCCCAGGTGGGACGCATGGGGTGCGATGTCATGCTAATGCCAGTGGATGAAATCTGAGACACCCCTTCCAGCCTAACAGTTTCCCCTACAGCCTCTGCAGAGGATAGACAATGATGTGGACCTGCGAGGGGAGCAGCACCCCATCGCCGGCTTCACGTACCCCCCGTCCCACCACGCTCCCACGCTCTCCCCCTCCGTGCCGCTGCATTACCTCCCCCACGACCCGCTGCACCAAGAGCTGCCATTCGGCGTGGTAAGTCCCCGTCTCGGTGCTGGGGGATGCGGGAGCTGCAGGCACGGCGCTGAGCCCTCATCTCTCCCCACAGCCATATCCCCACATGATGCCCCGGCGGCTGAACACCCAGCGGTACCGGCTGCAGCAGGCGCTGCCCCCTCCGCCGCCCCCTCCGCCGCCCCCTCCGTACTACCCGAGCTTCCTGCCCTATTTCCTGTGAGTACTGGGGTGGGGGGATGCGGGAGGCGTGGGGTGGCATGGTGCTTCTGTCCCCACCGAGGCACCCACACCGAGGGCCCCGTCTTCCCCCCATGCAGCTCTATGCTTCCGGTGTCGCCGACGGCCGTGGGGCCCACGATCAGCCTGGACCTGGACGTGGATGATGTGGAGATGGAGAACTACGAGGTACGTGGCTCCGCTGCCCCGTGGGGTGACCTCGGCGTTCCGGGGTGTCTCCACCGGGGCTGAGCTGTCCGCATCTCCCGCAGGCGTTACTGAACCTGGCCGAGCGGCTGGGGGAGGCCAAGCCACGGGGACTCACCAAAGCAGACATCGAGCACCTCCCGTCCTACCGCTTCAACCCCGAGAGCCACCAGTCCGAGCAGACCCTGTGAGCGAGCGGCGGGGGCTGGGGGCGGGGCTGTGGGGGGAGGGCGGGGGCTGGGGCCGGGCTGACGGCCGTCCTCCCCAGGTGCGTCGTGTGCTTCAGCGACTTCGAGGCCCGGCAGCTGCTCCGCGTCCTGCCCTGCAACCACGAGTTCCACGCCAAGTGTGTCGACAAATGGTTAAAGGTGGGCGGATAGGGCCGCGGACGCCACCGACCCCGGTGGGCTTCGGTCACCGCGGACCCCCCATTCACCCCCTCTTCTCTCCTCGTCCCCCGCAGGCGAACCGCACGTGCCCCATCTGCCGGGCGGACGCGTCGGAGGTGCAGCGGGAGGCGGACTGAGGCGGGCGGGCGCCGTGCCGCGCAATTGGTTACGGGATGAGGACGTCGGGCCAGGGGCGGGGGCCGCTGCCCGCTGCCAGGGCCTGGCCGTGCGCTTACCCCCCCTCCCCAGAGCCTCTCCTCGGAAGCGGTGAGCGCTGAGCAGCCCGGGCTGCGGCCAGCCCTCCTCCTGCGCCGTGGCTCGGAGCGCTGCGGGGCCGAATGGTGTTTGCTGGTGGCGGCCGGCCGTGTCCTCCGCACTGCAAAGACGCTGTCGTCGCTCCATCACTTTCCAGGTCTTTGTACTCCGCTAGGGATTATTATTTCCCCCCCACCCCCCCGTTTCTCTCTCTCTTTTGTTTTGTTTTGTTTTGTTTTGTTTTTAGGGTAGGATTTTTTTTTTTTCTTCCGTTTCCTTTCCCGTCGCGTTTCTTTGGTCCCGCGGCCGCTCTTCCCCTCGGCGGCGGGAGGAGGGCGGAGGGCGCACCGTAGCCGGGTGCTGACGGGCCCGGGGCCGACGTGCGGCCGCTCCGCACCGCTCCGCGTCCTTCCCAGGCGGGAGGACGGCCCCGGCCCCAAACCCCGCTCGCTCCGCGCACGGCGGAGGCGGTCGGGCCCGGCGGGGAGCTCAGCGTGGCGGCGCGGTTCGCCCCCGGGCTCCCGAGCGCCTCATCCTGCGGGCCGGGCGGCGCGGCGCGGGGTTTTGCCGCGACCTCGCGGTGGGTTTTGCCGCTCGGCGCCGTCCCGGCAATGCGCCGGCCGTCCCGGCGGTGCGGCCCGAGTCATTTTGCATGATTAATTAGCGAGGAGGGAGGGGGCGGGAAGGAGGGTCGCTCCCTCCCCGCGTTGCCGACGCCTGGGAGGCTCCGCGCGCGGCCGCCAGCCCTATGTAAATGTTCACAAATATGCATGCATGTCTGACCAGCTTGGAACGTGGTCTTGGCTACGTCTAGCCGGCTGTGGGGTGAGGGGGGTGGGGAGAGGGGTTTTTGTGCTCAGCTGATACTGCCATGCACTGTACTGCACATGTCCGCAACGCCACTGCAGGACCGTGAGGCTTTCAGGGCCGTCCCCGCGGCGGCGTGTGCAAGGGGCCGCTCCCCGCGGGGCGGGGCCGGGCGGCGGGGCTGGGCCCCGGCGGCGAAGGGTCGCGGCGAGGCGTGAGGAGCGGGGCCGCGCCCGGCAGGCGGGGCGGGGCGGGGCGGTCCGTTCCGTTCCCTTCCTTCGCGCTGCCGCGTCGAGGTGCGGAGCGGAGCGCCGGTCTCCGGGCGGCCGGGGAGCGTCCGCCGCCCATCGGCGGGAAGCCGTGCGCCCGCTCTCCGCCGATCGGCGATCGGGCGCCGGTCTCCGCCCGGCCGATCGGGCGCGGGGAGCGGCGGGAGGCGCGTCGCGATCGGTCGCCTCCGTTTTGCCTCCCTTTCTCGGCCGCCCGCCGCGCCTGCGGTCGAGGCCCGGGCCCGGCGCTGCAGCTCCGCCGCGCCGCCGGCACCGCTGGGCTCGGTGCCCCCTGGGCAGGACCCCGGCCCCCCCCGTCCCTCGCTCAGTGACAGATAACCAAAGGAGTCCCCGTGCCGCGCGGCGGCCTCGCGCCCCGGAGACGCCCCCACGTCCCCTTCCGCCCTCGCGGTGCCCAGGGAGCCAGGAAAGCCTTACGGTCCTTTGACGGCGACTCGAAAGCTCACAGCTCGTGTGCTGCAGAATTTATTCCAATGAGCAGCTACAAGTATCATTTAAGAA